TACTAAGAAAAAGCTAAAGATACACCCTGCAGTTAAGAGAAGCTCTTGCCTTCAGCTTATCTTAGCATCAAGAACAAAAAGATTGTAACATAAAGCTTTGGCCATTTCAATTCTACTATATACATTTTAAAAACTACACAGTCATAAATTAAAGCAGTGATTAAATAAGCTCATATAAAATGTAATTAAATTAAAAAAAATCACAGCACATTATAGAGAAAAATAGGAACCAGTTTCACAAAAGAGATTTATATATATATATATATTTTTTTTTACCCTGTGGAAACAAATTTTCTACGGAACACAAAAACTTCATAAGTAATCACCCAAAAATGAAAATCATTTCTTATTCCATTCTTGCATTTTTACACAACCTTTAACCCACCTGGGGAACATTTCCAGAAATTAAGTCTTCCTTGAGCAACAGAGCAGTTCTGCCAAGAAAATAAACCCCAAACCAAAGGGGAGGGGGGGGGGTCATCCCGAACATACAAACTACAAAATAAATAAGAATTATAAAGTTTTTTTTAAAAGTAACCTTAACAATTATCAAACTAGTAAGTTCTGCCTTATCACATAGACTCTCTATACAACATAACCCTAAAACTTTATTACTATGAGGTATTTGGAGGAATTGGTAAAAGTGATGCACGGCCTGCCTGGTGGAGGGACCGGGTGAAGGGGGTGGTGAGGGAAACTTGCGAGGGAACAAGAAAAAGGAGCTTTGGTTTATCAGCAAGAAATTGGGAAAAAAAGTCATCCTTTGGTATCAAAGAAAGTTTCATTGCATGGTTGCACGGAAAAAGCACCACGGTGAATAATTATTCCTTTTTTTTTTTTTCATTAGTGGCCTTTCTAAGAGGCTGAGGTATTCAAAGAGTATAAGGTGAAAGAGGTCAACAGCGGTTTAACACTTTGGTTCAAGCAAGGCACTCGTCCTAGGAGTTTACAAAGTTTGCAACATGTTTGCCTAGAGATTTACAAGTAGAACTAGCAGTAGTAAGAGTTGTATTTCCTAATGTTGTTGTTATCATTATCGTATCGTTATTAAGAATGAAGACAAGTTTATACACTGAGTGAAGAGTGGGAGGGGAGGAGGTGGGAGAAAGGGGAGGGGCGGAGTTCCCTCTGCAGACCAAGGCCGTGCATGAAAATATCTTTGGTATTCTTTGGTATCATCAATGTGATTAAAATCACCAATGGAAATTGAGTGAGGTAGCGTCTTTGGTTCACACTATAAATAGTAGATCTTTACACTTTTTTTTTTTTTTTTTTTTTTTTTTTACACATGGAAGTAGCTATTTCTTACCTTCTGCTTCTTTGTCCTTACTATTCAGGAAATAGTTACCAAATGTACTGTAAAGCTAACCACACCACAATAATAATCCAGGAGGCCAAACATGTCTCAAAACAGCCTCTGGTATTTGAATGCACCCTAAACAACTAGATAGAAAAAGGAGAAGTGCTTTCTCTTTGTTTGCTAAATGCATAGTTTTCATCCTTTATGTACAAAGAAGGGAGGACCTTTCTTAGGGAAAATGCTTTTATAGCTCATGTGAAAATGTCCTAGGACTCTTTGGTATAGCAAAGTTTGCATTTAACCTGCAAAGATGGGTAGTTTACCTGGGGCAGCAATGGGAGTGGAATGAGTCCAAAAGTAGCATAGTGCTTTTATATTTTCCTGGAAAAATATTTACGCTTTTGGGGCAGGGGGAGCACAGTGAGTGAGATGTTCATTTAGAACTTCTGGATTTCCCCACACATTTTCTTTGGTCTTTGGAGTTTATTCCAGCTGCATCCAAGGACTGGAATACTCAATTCCTGACATCCAGAACTCTTTTACCTGAACATTTCCTGAAGTCTGGATTTTTGGGGTGTCCAGACTTCACACCCCCCTGCCCTCTTCAGGAAAGCTTCCAGTCATGAGAGGACCTGAATGACTTATGGCCAAAAACAGACTAACTTCCATTCTATAAAAAAAGAGTATTATTTGACACGAAGTTTTGGAATAAACACACATACAAATAAAAGAGTGAGGTGACTTTTTCTGGTGAATTTTGTTAAAAGATTGAGAATGAGGGGTGAACAAATGGCACATGATCTGCTCTGTTGAATGTAGATTTAGATTTAAAAAAACTCAAGCCATAAATGAATGCTACACTAAACAGGAATGGAAGCATTTTTTCCTACATGCCAGTTCAGAAGCAAGTAAAGAATCAGTCATACATGATGTATGTAAGTAAGTGTATTGCTTGTGAGAAGCTGAGTTTGTCCATTATGATTTCTAAAAAGCAAACGTGAGTATGCTTAAATAGTCAAGTAAAAAAATTGCTTTTCAGGCTCTGATTTGTGCATCTGTTTATGAGAAAATATATCTCTAGGCCCTGAAATTGCATAATGGGTGCAAATTCAATGCTGGTATGAAAATTATCTTTGGTGTTAGCAAATAGGATAACTGGTTATTTTTTTTTTTTAAATCATTATGGTGGGATATTAAAAGTGAAGCAATATTCTTTGAGACTGTGCCTACACAGTATCAATCAAAATAATTGTTTGAAAATGTAACATGCAGTTGGATTAAAAACAAAGCAAAAAAACATGGTTGTCTGAATTCCACTCTTGTTTTTCTTGGGGTATTGAATTTGGTAAGATTGTGTGTAGACACAGTTTGAATTTCCCTGTATTTTAAATTTGCATGTTTTAAATAAATAAGGCTTTCCTCCCTCCTAAATTATAAATACATTATGTAGCTGTATTCCCCAGCTCCCTCCATTCCTGGAGGGAGAGAAAATGTTAATCAGTTTTTTTTTTCTTTTTGTTTACGGCATTGACAAGATATATTTAGCGAATCTCAAAGGGTGGCCATTTCAAAGGTCTCTCTTAATAGCTGAACTATAGTTGTGCCATTTTTTAGAAGGGAAAAATTAAAGCTGGAATTTTGGATGAAATAAAATAAAATACGAAGACAAAATATATCAAGACAAATGCAGTCTTTCATCAAAGGAGAAGTCTATGTTGGTTTCCTTTTCTCATTCCACAGTGGACATGAAGGAGACACAGACAGATGGCTTGTTGGTTTAGCCTTGTCTCTCTAGGTGCCTACCTATTTTAGACCTAGAAAAGATGCTAAGATTTGATGCTAAGGAGTTAGATTTTGTGTCATGATTTTTTTCCCCCGAAATTTTAATGAATCTCAATAAACAATTTATTGTTAGGATAACATTTAATTTTATATTTCTAGTTAGATGTGTTAATTAACGAAGATTATCCAATTCTTTACCTAATAGTACAACAGACATCATCCACTTATATAAGTTAGTATCCAAATGAATTCAGAGAGAATTTTTCTGGGAATCAAAGATTCTAGTACAACTTTTGTTACTTTGTTTTGCCTTGATTTTTATAGCCCTGGTTAATTGATCTGGAAAAATTAAAATTTAAAATTTTGTATTTGGAAGCTCAGATCTAGTTTTTAGTCTGTCCCTGTTAGAAAGTGGAATCTATATTGTAAAATTTCCAGCCTAATGCAGTAGCAAGAAAGAATGTAGGATACTTTGCTATTCTTAGTGAAATAAATTGATTAATATCTATGGAACCAAGAGTCTTGTCTTTCACTAGAATTCTGGCTTTTTCTATGCAGTTCCACCAGTTCTACCATTTCTCAGTTGCACCTGCTGTTTTTATTGATATTCAAGTCATAAAATGTCTGGGATTGGTAATAAAATCAGTTTGATTATTTTTTAGGATGGTTACAAATACTGGAGAGTTCATTTTAATAATAATGGTGGTCTGCTTGCTTTATCTATGTTTGCAAACTATTTTAAAAAGGTATTTGGTGCCAAATGCATAAAGTGAATTTAAGTCAAATTAACCTAAGCATAGAGTTCTTTATTGAGTGGTTTTTTACTAAAAAAGATTATTTTCAATACATTTCCTAATTTAGTTACCTGCTCTCTTAAACTTGGTTTTCTAGTGTACAAGTGGGGTCCTTCTTTGGAAGGAGCCCCAGGTTTTCTCAGTGAGGAATTTCTAATTATAAAATTATGTCTATCTCTCTACCTAAGTGACATTTATAAATTCTGAAAAGGAGTGTGCCATCTGGATGTACACGTGTACTGCATCGACCTCTCTGCCATGTTATTAATTGCTTCCCTGAAGCTACATTCTTTCTTGCCAGTTCTGAAAACTCATATTTCAAATGCTTCAAGAGTCATAAATAATAGTCATGATTCTTTGTGGCATGTGTATTACAGCTAGATCAGTTCATACGTATAACTTTACATAGTATCTTGTGTAAAAATAGCTTTGGTTACTAAAATCATTGCAATAAAATACCTGCACTATAATATTAAGTGTGTTCTTTGGTACCTAGGTGATTTTTTCTTTTAATGGATGGACTCTTGTTTTATTTCTTAAAAAATATCTGAACATTCCTTAACAAACAAAGAGAATGCACTGGTTTAGGTGTCATTCAAATTTTCTTTGCTGGGTTTGAATCTGCATTTAGGTTGCGGGCCTGGCAGGTTCAAACGCTAGGCTAGACGAGCAAAATCACACTCCTAATCCAATGAACTCAGACAACCCCATACCATGTTGGTCGTACTCCTATAGCACAACCCTTTCTGAAGACCAGCTCTGCCTAAGTCTCTAACCACTGGTGGTGTGTGTGTTTGTGTGTGTGTTTGTGTGTGTGTGTGTGTGCGCGTGCTGGTACCCACGCACAATACTGAGACACCATACACCTTCATGGCGTGGTGGAACAGATGAAAAAGTCTGATCTTAAAAGATGCCCACTCAATGGCTCAAAATCACTATGCTCCAAACCACTAAACAGCCAAGCACAGCGAGAATGGATTGAAGGTGTGAGATCCAGTGGTGTTTTCCTGCTCATCATTTTTCTTGCCAAGTCGTCGCCCCGCTGAAGTGTGTGTCTCCGAACAAAGTCAGAATGCAGGTGAGCTAAGTCTTTGGTTTCTTTGGACTATAAATAACACTTTTTTTTCTTCAAATATTTCTAAGTATAAACCTGCTATCTTGAGGTCCTGGTCCTTAAAAAAAATTTTTTTTAATTTAAAGCTTTTCCACCGAGGTTTCAGTTCGTGGTTCTTCCTTCATGCTTTGGTACAAGTGCTTGATGAAGAAGATGAGTTGCCTGAATTGGAGCTGCCCTCGTCCTGCCACTTGTCCAGACTCCTCCTCCTGGCGTTCATGAAGAAGTTGCTGACGGTACTCAGCTCCAACCCCAGCTGCTGGGAAATGGTGATTTGCAATTCTTTGGATGGGCGCTTATTTTCCTTGAATATTGCATGTAGAGTTCGACGCTGGACATCTGTGAAGACCAACCTGGGCTTTTTGGGTGTGTTGCCTCTATCCTTCCCGTGTTCTTGCTCTTTCCTTTTGCATGCTGCAAAGAAACAAGGAGATGTTAAAAGAAATTACCTGGGAGCATCAAGAATACAAAGGCAGAACCCATGAAATTCATTAGCCATTCCTCATGGCCTGCTTTCCATCTGCTGACTTCTGATCTAAGCACCATGCAGGACTGGGAGGGAGGTGTAATAAAAAAATGGAGAATTGAGATCTGTGAGATCTGGGCTTGGCTTCTGGCTTTAAGGAGTATCTGCTTTGTGTCCTAGATAAGTCAGTTAACTCCATCTGGGCCTCATACTCCTCATCTGTACAATGTAAGATTCTGGCTAAATGAACTGATCTCCTTGAACTTTATTTCTCTATCTGCAAAATGAATACAAGAATACCTACCTTGCTGGGTTGTGGTATTAAATAGTATATGTAAACATTTATGCTAACTTTACAAATTCAAGGTATTGTCAGCAAGAAGTGGTTGTAGCCCTCAAAGGGTTTACAGTCTGTTGCAGGTAAAATATTAGGAGCCTAATTGGAAGTCTAAACACATAACAAAAAGGAATTGCATTTGTTTCCCTTCTGCTTTTTTTGTTTTCCAGGAACTTCTATATACAAGAAAACTCTGTATATAGTGTGCTACCATGGCCATCACACAGTCTTTTTTTTTTTTTGAGTTGGAGTCTCACTCTGTCACCCAGACTGGAGCGCAGTGGCCGCTCCCGGCCACCGTAGCCTGACCTGCTGGGCTCCGGTGATCTTCCGCCTCAGCCTTCCAAGTAGCTGGAACTACAGGCATGCGCTACCACGCCTGGCTAATTTTTGATTTATTGTAGGGATGAGGTCTCACCAAGTTGCCCAGGTGGGTCTCGAACCCATAGGCTCAGGCAATCCACTCACCTCAGCCTCCCAAGGTGCAGGATTACAGGCTGAGCCACCAAGCCCGGCTCATCACACAGTCTTCTACTGATTGTTTAGTGGAGCCAGGAACTGTGGAAGGTTGAACCCCTCTTCCTTGCCATCAAGGCAAAACCTGCCAAGTTAGCCATGATCATCTCTGGAGTCTCTCTGTGCCTCCTTTTTTTTACTTGTGCAAGTCGTGCTCTTGGAGCCCTCTTCATCCCTTACCCGGTCTCCCATTGAGAAGACTCATTCCCTGCCCTTGCCTTTCTAGTCCTGTATCATGCAGCTGCTTTTTGGTTGCTGGAGCTATTGTGGCACGCCATCCCAATGTGGCCCTCAGGCCCCAGGGCTTGGTGTCAGATCAGCGTCTGTCCTTACCTGGGATGCTGTACTCCCCTTTCCAGCCTAATGTGCCTCAGCAGCTTTTGCCTGCCAAAAGTCACTATGGGCTGCATTGCTAACAATGCCCTTTCCCCCTCTCCATCTCCACCATCAACCAATCCCTGCAGTCAACCCCAAATGACCACATACCCAAGGAAAAATGATGGTCTGGTTATGCAAAGGCAGCTCAAGACAAGCCTCCTATGCCCAGACTCCAATCAGAGTACTGCCTCCTGGCCCCCCTGTGTGGGTATTCTGGAACAGCCATTGCCACCTTTGTATCTGGCTGGCTGCGCCTCTCACTCTATGTGAAGCAGATGGAAGGTGCTCCCTGGTGGAGGGAGGGACTGCCACTGTTCTATATCTCATACTTCCCGTCAGCTGCCCTGCCTGTGTTGCTGTCTTCTGATTCTCCTCATGCCTCTCTGTGTATTCTGGGTTCTCCATTCCTTACCAGATGGTTTATGGTTACCAGCTCTGGCTAGATGTGCCTCTGGGCTGTTCCCAGGTGACCCTGCTCCTTTGCCTGCCCCTCCCTTTCATTCCCAGCTGCTCCAGATCCTAGATTTCAAGGTTCACCTAGAACCTCAGATGCCCATGAGTACAAATTAGATCAGCAACAGATCAGCTGAAGAGCTAACAGGTGACAGCTGAAGAAGCCTCTAGTCTGGGGTCCAATCCAGAGGTCTTCAATTTTTTTTGTTTTTTGTAGAGATGAGGTTTTGCTATGTTGCCTAGGCTAGTCTCAAGCTCCTGGGTTCAAGCAATCCTCTCACCTTGGCCTCCCAAAATGCTGGGATTACAGGCATGAGCCACTGCACCTGGACTAATTTTTATTTTTTTATTTTTTGAGTTGGAGTCTCACTGTTTTGCCCAGGCTGGAGTGCAGTGGCATGCTCATAGCCACCATAGCCTTGACCTTCTAGGCTCAGTTGATCCTTCCACCTCAGCCTTTCATGTAGGTGGAACTACAGACATGTGTCACCATGCCCAGCTAATGTTTTGATTTATTGTAGAGACAAGGTCTTGCCATGTTGCCCAGGTTGGTCTCAAACCTCAGGGCTCAGGCAATCCTCGTGCCTCTGCCTCTGAAAGTGCTAGCATTACAGGTGTGAGCCACTGCACCTGGACTAATTTTTTTTTAGTTGGAGTCTCACTGTTTTGCCCAGGCTGGAGTGCAATGGCATGCTCATGGCCACCACAACCTCGACCTGCTGGACTCAGGCAATCCTTCCGCCTCAGCCTTCCAAGTAGCTAGAACCACAGGCATGTACCACTACACCCAGCTAGTAAAAATAAGGGTAAGAGCCGGGCTCGGTGGTTCAGCCTGTAATCCCGCGCCTTTGGGAGGCTGAGGTTAGTGGATTGCCTGAGCCCGTGGGTTTGAGACCTGCCTGGGCAGCGAG